AGGAGGGGGTAGTTGTGGTGAAAGGCTCCAATATTCACGGGTGCACAGCATGCTGAGCGCCCATGCCATTCGTTTGCCTCCAACATTCGCTGCGCGATATTTACCCTCAACTCGTATGTGTAGACGACGAATATGGTAGAAATGGTACGTGGACTCTCGTTTAGGTAATATGTATTGAAATTTCTGGTGAAAGGAATGAAGATATTGATATCAGGAAATTTTCCAAGAAATAAATTTCGAGGGAAATCGAGAATCTTCATTTCAGCCTCTTATCAGCAAGAGCTCGGGATCATTTTTTTAGTATTTAGTCTCATTTTTTTGCGGGTGTTGGTGATTTTATTATCCGTTAATGAAATTAGATTACAAAAAGTTACTTTCCTCCTCCAAAAATCGTAGATCTGCCCTGGGCCTGAATTGAAAAAAAAGTTTGTTACTTGATTTTTCCGGATTCGAGGTGATTTCCGGTTATTTTGAATAATTTCCCGGTTTTTTCCAATATTTAAAAGGCCCGTAAACTGGCGGGATTTCTACCTCACGAAATTGTAATCATAAACTGAAATTTCCCTCAAAAATACTTAATACTTATCCAATACTTAAAACTCTCTACAAAATCTAATTGCTAAATTTGTTTTTAGATTGTTCGGCATGTGGACTGAAGTGATCCCGAAGAATTTCACTCGGTTCATATCGTGGAGACTCGGTGATCCCGCGGCGCAGGCGGCGCCATCTGGCGTCGGCGACGATGAGTCGTTGCTGGACACCCGGATCTGAACAGTACGGCTTGGACTGCCGGCAGTCTCGTACCACATCTCCATTCGTATCCGTTTCCCGGTTAAAAACTGACAATCACCCTACATCGCATGACAGACAACCGAGGTAATCAACAATCGCGTGTGTGTGCAACCCTCATAATCACAAATGCCAGTTATTTATTTGCGTTAGAGTACGAATGTAATTGCAATAATTTCGCGAGTGGTGTGTTCGCCCGACAGATAAGTTCACTCTCGTCGGTCGATAAAATTCAACGAAAAGTGACGGATAAAGGGTGGGTGTCTGGGGGTGGAGTGGTGGTGAATGTTTGGGGGTTGAAGTCACGTTAGACGCACGTGGATTTTGTGGTGTGAATAAACAATTGGAGGAAATTAAAATGCGACGAAATGTGAAAATTGTTCTTCTCCTGTCTTGCGCGTGGATGTTCGTCTGTGTTTACTATTATCACACATCGCGAGATAGCAAGGTGAGTGATACTATTCATTATTTATTCCAAGATTTTTGGATTTATGGGGGAATTAATTATGAGAACATTGACGTTGGGGATGAGGGCTGATCGTCAAATGTTTTTGCGGCGAAAAAACCTGCGCACTTTACCGGCCAGGGTGGTTGTTTATTATTGCTTGAAAAATTGCCGGGGATTGAGTTGCATTGTTTAATTCATTCATTTTTATTATTCGTCATTTGAAGACGAGTTTTACCATCTTTTAAAATTTTCGGCATTGCTAATTCGGTACTATTTCTCTATGAACTCAAGCCGCATGTAAACACGAGGAAAATGAAAACAAATGAAAATGTACAAAAATTCTTGGAAAACTGGGGGGGAATACAGCTGTTTTGATATGAGGTTAGCTCGTTTGTTTTATAGGTAATTCAAACGACCAATCCATGGGTATATGGGCATGGGTATATTTGTCACATTTTTATCTCGGCGTAGAACTGAAGAATTTTTCCTGAAAATACAAAATCTTTTTCCCCCGCTTTTTTATTCGTTGAAATCTCCCAACGCAAAATTACATGGTGACTTGTTCATGACAAGGGGCACAAAGGGTGGGTGGAAGGGATGGGGGGAGAGTAATGTGTATGTGCTTGAGTAATTAATCTCTCCAACATTTACTTTGTTGCTTTTCATAATCGAGATCGTTTCGTGAGTGAGAATTGTCTCCGAAAAAGCATTTATTTATCGCGTGCTTGAGGTTTCTCATTTTTTGGGGGGATATTAATTGGATTGGCACCGCAACCATCAATGAATGATGAAGAAAGTGATGAGAAAAGAAAGCATTTCTTTCCCTCTCCCGGTAATTCAAGGTGCATGTCATTCGTTTTCGCTGGCTCGTAAACCGATTATTGTATTACTGATCTTGATAGATTAAAAGCGAATAGCTGAGCTGTAATAACAATCGTGCACTTGTGAACCATTGTTTTTATATTTTCTCATGGACTCTTCCGTGTTTTCCACCCTTGGGACAGAGGGAATACACTTCCGTTGGGAGATTCTTCTTTTTTTCTTTCACTTCCATTGATGTTTAGTTTTTCGTCGGTTTCACTCCGTTTTTCTCAAAGGCTGGGGAAAAATGACTGGTGTTTTTCAAAGTGGTGTGTAGGATATTTCTAATTCAGTGGATTCTTCCATGAACAGAGGATTTTTATAGAATCTTCATATTAGGATCTTCTTGAAACAAAAAAATCTTTTAGTTTGTTGGCAAATTTATGTATTATTCATTACCGAATCAGTTGATTTAATGAATATTATATTATTTTAGCCAGTACCTCGCAATTAAAGAAAGATAACGATATTTTCACAGATACCTTTTTTGTAGCTCTCATCTTATTCTATAAAAAATATTCACGCAAAAAATTTGTTAAGTTTCTTCAGTTCCGAGATACCGGCAGGAAACTGGTCTCGAAAAAAATTCATTCATCGTAGTTTACCACTTTGCTAGTGAATTCAATTATTATGTTACATAAAAGCCCATTCGTTTTGAATTCTCGATTGGAATTGAATGGTAACCGTTATAGGTGACAATTCAGATGAAGTGGTGAATGAAATTTCAAATTTTAAACAGTCTACCAGAAGAGAAGTTTAAATATAGAAATACGTAGCATTCGTGACATGCCTCGGATGCACATATAGAACTGATGCATGTTTAGTCTGTAACCTCGTTCGTTCTCGTATGATTGGCACGAATGCCTGGCAAGTCTTACAAGTACACGTTACAGTTTTAATAGATGTTCTACGGTTAATGTCCGGTATGCGTCAGTATCCGAGGAAAATGTGTTATAACATCTCAGTGAATTTCATAAGGAATTCAATTAACCTTTCAATTTTCTTCTCTGTCCGCGAAATTTCCCAGTTTATGGACCTGTCGAAATAACGAGAGGGTTTAATTCCCTGTTTGTCGATGTTTTTTTTTTCTCTCTTTCACGTTGGAAAGCTCTGGGTTTTTCTTTTTCTTCTCTTTTTTTTTTTACATTTTACCTCAGAGGGCTGTAACGAGCGCCGCGGGTCGCTCGTTAAACCACGAGATGGGTCTCAATTTGTAAGTGCAACCGCCATTGCTGCGGCCAATAGTTGAACATAAAAAATAGGAGACATCCTGGACTTAGACCGGGAAATCAGAGGGAGAGCTTTCCAATTTGTTTGTCTGATGAAAAGTCACTTCTGAAGTTTTGGTTTCTTTTTTTTTGGTAATTAGGAAAAAAAATTTGTTATGGGATTTTTTTTTTGAAAATGGGCGAGACGTGGTGGGAAAACCTTTCAAAAGTTTTTTGTACGACAAAAAAATTATTGCAAACTTTTTCCAAAAATCATTGGAATTTTTTTTTACAAATCTCCATTGACGAATCATTTCATCCTTTTGATATTTTAGTAATTCTCTATTTTTGAGTCAAATAATAAGGGAACGATCAATTTGCTGTCATTTCAAAATAAATAAAAATAAAGAAATCAATGGCCGGTTTTAATTGAAATTAAATGAAAAATTCCTATAATTGAAAATTCATTCGATTTTGTGGCTGAAATGTCAAGAAATTTTGAGCAGTGAAGCAAATAATTTTTTTTTTGTCCATCTTATACATGGAGAATCAGTGGGTTAATACCTTTTAGATATAAATAAAAATAATTTACTAGGATAATGGGTTTTTAACTGACCAGTGGATGCTCAATGTTGCGTACACTGGTCCCTTGATACGAAAGGATGAAAACAATGATGTCATGGATGAACGGCAAATCGGGCCAAATCGCTCGATCCACTCGCGGCTTATATATTTACCCGGACAATTTCCCCTGTTCTTACGATATTTATTGTCGAGTATGTATGGGCCTGGGGTTGTGCATTGTCGTTGAGGCTTTTCGCGCCATTTCCGCTCCAACAGATACGGCACACGAAATGCCGCACTGTGTCCCTCACATATTTTTATTTTTAATTTTTTTTTTCTCATTTTTATTCTCCCTGAAAGCCCAGGATTTTTTTCCACCCGATAAAATTCCGCGATCTAATGCGCTTATGACATGTTTATGACAGCATTTCAGGGGTTGAATAATGGAACAATAAAAATTATTCCGGGGAATGCAGCGTTGGGGTTGAGAATCAGTATCGAAGGGCTGAAGTGGCAAAACCCAGTTGAAAAAAATTTTCATAGAAATTTAATTAAAATTCATATTATGGAGAATCGTAATTATTGAGAGGGAGCAAGAGCTTTTTAGGGTATTATGTGTCGTTTGAAAATTACATTTGAAATATCGGGTAAAATGACAAAGTGATATTAAATTTATGCATAATTTTTTATTGGCTAGCCAGTTAATTTTTTTTTCGCGTAATGATTTTTATTTAATTTTTTTAATTGCTGATTCATGATATATTCTATATTATTCTATAAACTCAGATGGAAATGCGGATGAGTTTGTTTTTTAATGATTGAATATGACATTGAAAAATTTAGTGATGGTAAAATCGTACGATTTTTATTCTGGGGAAGAAATTGATGGCGTTATTCAAAATTTGAAAAATTTAAAAATATGATTATGAAATATATCATGTGAATCCGGTTTATCCCGCAAATACGCATTTGATGTCTCGAGAAGTAAGCCGAGGATCTAGGTACAGGGTACTATCAAGAGTATCAAGCGTTATGCATTATGGCATCCTCTGGAGCAAAAGTACCGCCATCAATATTATCTCACTGTACACTAGGTACACCTCTGGAATACGTAACCCACATGAACATCCACTGCCCACTCTTTTGACATTTTTTTTTCTTCCACCCAAAGGGGAAGAGGAAACAAAACTTTTCCACGACTTTTTATCCTCTCCCCTTTTGTTAATCCAATCTCACAAAAATATTTAATGAAACTTGTGCGCGACACGTAGGAAAATTCATGAAACGGCAAAAAAAACAAAAAGGCATTTTGCGGGAATAATAAGAATAATGACGCGGTTAAAAAAAAACCATTGGTGGGATAAAAATAATTGGAAACGGCATTTCAGGCTGGGGTACTGAGACCACGAGAAATTTTTGCGGTTAACAGTAGTGCAGAGGTGCAACACTTGTTTCTCTCCTGCTATTGGCTGTGCAAAAATTTATCTGCAATGTTTCATGCGATGGCTGGAAAATCTAGGGCATTTTGGATAAACCGGGGGGACTCGAGAAATAAAAACTCACCAGATACTTTCTGGGTAAAAAAAAATCGTGATCGAAATATTTTGTCATATTTTTGAGGAATTTTCGGAAAACGTTTTGGAGTTTTTTTTTTATGAGCCAAAAAAGCTGGAGAACAAAAAAATTGATTTTTAAAAAATGATCGAGATAGTCTTTTATGAGGAACATTTTATTTGATTCTTTAAAATTTTGCGAAAAAACTTTTATTCACTATCTTCTAAATATTTTTCGATGAATTTCCAAACAAATTTTTCCAAAATGTTCTTTTTGGTGTTGAGATTTGTTGTAAAACATTTAATCCGTGTCGACTTATTTCGTCTGCATGATTAACGGATAAATAATGACTTATTTAACTTGGAAGTGGATTGTTTAATTTTCGGGTGAAAATAGAAATGGGGAATCCTCTGAATTTCTTTCTCCAACGGTAGAATGGAAAATAGAGAATTGAAGAAGCAATAAATCATGGGAAATAAATCGTGCAGAATAAAATCGATAGGCCCCAGGAGAACGTGTTCCAGGTAGATTTTACATGGGGTTTTGAGTGCCTCGAGTGCTTTTCGAAATATAGGACGAGTGGTATGCAGTCGGTGCACGCATCACAAAACCCCTTGCTCACAATTTCACCCCCTTGTTCAATTGCTATGTACAGCTTCAAACCGTGTCCTAGGTGCGTGCAAATGGATTTAACCGCAATTACTCCTTGAACAATTTTTCATCATGATTTTTTGTTCAACGAAAAAATGCTGATCGAACATCACTTCATTACCCATTAAACATCCCTGTCATTAATTCGTTAAGCTCTCCAAT